GGCTTCTGAGCATCAGTCTTGGTGAATCTCTAAAGAACTCACATGTTTCAGAACTCAGGAAGCAAGCTGGTGGATCTGGAATGCCAGTCGCTACATTTTGCTGTAGGAATAGACAATTTCTTAAAATTCAGCCAGCAGTTTTCAAAATAAGGACAGTAGCAAAATTTAAGGAAGGTTGTACTTTTAGCAGCTATTTTGTAGAAATTATATAAAATAATTTAGAGATGGGTCCAAATATGAGTGTATAATTTTGTTGAATTTGTACCATAGGTGTGATCACAGTACCTTTCCAAGAAATCCCTTGATTTCTTAAACCAAACAAGAAGAATTGCAAAGCATCACACAGGTTCTCTGTATTCTGTCTACTCTTGCTCCCAGATTACCATTAAGCATTTCCAAAATTAGTGTTTCCATAGAAACTAACACATTTTAAAGAGAAGAGTTGAAGAAAACTGAATGGTCCAAAGTAAGCAAAATCAGAAAGCCATGCGACAGAAGTCAAATCTAGGAGAGAAGAGTTTGTCACGGAGTTTTCTCTGAACCCAGGTGACTTATGGCTGGAGGAAAGCTCTTCAAGGTGTGACTTACGGTGTCGCCATGCACCAATAGCCCTGAATCGCTTTCCTTTGAGCTTTAAACACCAGATCACCTAGAAATGGGCAGGACCCAGTGAAATGGGAAAGATGACTCTTTAGTTAAACAACGGTAAGCACTGAATTGTGTTGTGATATCATAGTCCTAAACGCAACTAAAGCATTGCTTTAAAAAAACAGAGCATGCATATAAAGAGGGCAGGTTAGAGCATGCCAGGTGCCAGCAATGGCACATAAATATAAATAAATCCTGCAGCATTGCAGCAGATAATTTAACAGGACCAGTGTTGATTCATCTTTTTATGACAAAGAAATTTGCCGTAAAAAGTATTCTACATATATAGGTGGTGTACAATGCTATAAAGTATATATGTAACACACACATGCATACGTGTGTGAAAATATGCATAAAGAAAAGATGAGCCAGGACACTGTATGGCCCCAGAGCCTCTGCCAATAGAGATTCTTACGGTGTTTCACTGAGCTTCCGGGCAGTGCAAGGGGCTTCTCAGAGGAGCAGGGCAGCCAGAGCCATGCCTTGCCGGGCATGGGACTCCGGGTCCATGCAGGAAGAGGGAGATGATCCCCAGGATCTTTGTCTACCCAGGGCCAGCAGGTCAGGGACGGGACAGACTGTAGGCCTCGCATCTTTGCACATCTGCATCCTGATTGACTGGCTTGCGGGGAGGAATGACCAACTCTCCAACCAATTTAGACAGGGAAAGAGTAAGAGAAGGTAGGCTGGGAGGAACACTGTGTGTCTCACCCGGATCATCCTACGGGATGCTGACTGAGGCAGTGACCTAGGAATGAGAGGCATGGACACTGACCAAGGCAGGATTAGTCAGCCTCGGATGATGACATTGTGGTAACGGTCAGACCCCAAACCTCAGGGCTCCACACAGGGAAAGTCGCTCCCTCACTCTCACAGAACCTGATTCCCAGAGTCGGGAGTCCAAGCTCTGGTACTGCGTGAATCTGCTCTCTTCATGGTGGCTTCCAGACTGCCAGAGAAGACGGAGAAGGTCTGATGCTTATTATTACCTGTTGGCTAGAGTGGTCTAAGGGAGGCCCAGGTAGGTGCTAAAACTTTGAGACATTCCCCCTCTCTGTCTCTGTCTGTCTGTCTCTGTCATTCTCTGTCTCTGTCTATCTCTTTTCTCTTCCTCTAAAAGAAATCAGCATTGAAACTGGTGCACTGGGGCTGGGGATTTAGCTCAGTGGCATAAACGCCTGCCTTGTAAGCAGGCAGTCATGAGTTCAATCCCTGGTACCAATAAAAAAAGAAAAGAAACTGGTGCACTTTAAAGTGTACTTTGTAAAGCACGTGGCTTTCTCCATGTGAAGGGATGACATAATGGGCTGAAGGCCTGCATAGACCCAGGAGACAGAGGACAGCCCTGCGCTCTCTGACTGACCAGGGACATCCATCCCCTGGGTCTAGATCACCCAGGCTCCCAGCCCATCGGGTGGGGACTCCTGACCCGCCCTGCCCTCGGGCCACTGGACCCAGATTTGCCTTTGTGCCCCTAGCTTCCTGTGGAAGGCCCTTGGCTCGGTTTCTCTGGTGACCCCACGTCACACGAGGTACCCCAGCCCCCATCAAGACAGCTGTTATTCTGCTAAGGCTCACACTGCCCCACCCCAGCGCTGAGTCTGGAAATCGAGGTAAGGGTGTGAATATTGGAGAACACGGACAGACACTGGAGGACGCGAGGGAACACGGCACAGGAGGGGACGGATGGGTAGATGAACAAGAAGACCGCGGGTGAACAGAGAAGGGCAGGACAGCGGCAGCCCCAAGCCGTCTTTCCCCCGCGCGCTGGGTGATCCAGGGCTGGCTTTAATCTTATTCCATATAAACTGTGTTTGTCCTAATTATAGAGTAATCATGTGGACATTTAGAGGAAAAAAACAAATGAAAAGGAAAACAGAAAAAATCGTATGCGTAATTCCACACACCCCCAATATAATTATGACATGTTTATTTATTTTATCTTTTTCACTCATTAAATTTTCTGTGTTGCAGTTAGACATTGTGATAGCTCCACTCCTGTGAAGTCTGTAGCAAAATGTTTTAAACTCCTGCTTGTGTAGCAGTCCCCTGGGGACAGAGGAGTGGGCACTGCCACCCCTGTGAACCTCTAGGGGCTCGCTGGACCCCTACAGCTCTCAGGAAAGGCGTCCTTCCCACGCAAGGCCATTGTCACCAAGCACAGGCACAATGAGACAGCAAACCAGTGTCGCGTCGGCTTGGACGCAAGCAGTCTGAAGACTGGACTGGAAAGACAGGGCAGGCGCGGTGCTTGCTTGCAGAGCAGAAGGGAAGAACTGAGGCACCGCCAGAACCCCAAGATAGAGGCAGCAGACCCTCTGGATCACACTGGAGCCTGAGGAAGAGCGACCGCACCACCAATAGCAAACTGGTGTTGCGTGCAGAGCGTCTGCAACCCAGCTGCAGAGGCCAGAAAAGGAAACGCGACTTCCCTAGGCCCACCGTCATGCAGTGCGGACGCGCCCAGGTGGCACTCAGCACCCACCTCGGCCCCTGCCACAACAACCCTTCCCCTGCTCACAAGCGTAGGTAGAACCTGTGGAGCCTGAGTGACACCATCAGCACCAAACAACAGGTCATCACAGGACAGCATTAGTATTGCTATTACTTTTGCAGTCGGGGGGCTGAACCCAGGGCCTCAGTAGCATAGGCATGCCCATCCCCAGGCCTGTCCTTCATGCCTTCTCTTCCCCCTCCACCCCTTCCCCTTTCTCTCCTTCATTCCTCCTCCTCCTCCCTCTTAGAAACAGGGTCTTGTTAAATTGCCCAAACTGGCCTAAAATTTGAGATTTTCCTGCCTCAGCCTCCTAAATACCTGGGATTACAGGCATATACCACTGTATCCAATTGAAACGGAGGAATTATGACACTGACAGTGGCCAGAATTTACACCAGGGAGAGGATTTGCCTCTTAGGCTCCAAATCCACTCGTGTTTTAGGACGTGACCACTCCCACGCATGAAGACTGACTTGCCATCTGCCCACAGGACGTGATTTACACTGGGTGAAGAAGAGAGGGTCTGGCAGAGTGAGGGGACTCTGAGCTTCCTGTTTACCCACGTCCTGGTCACACAATCCAGACCACTGAGGTTCCAGGTCACCCACGTGGGCGAGCTCCTAAGGCCCCTGTCAGCCCCACTGAGCTGTCACAGAGCCTAGAAGGGTTGTTGGCTGAGACCTCTCCAGCTTCCCGTCACCTCTGCCCCAGGAAGTGGTCTGGTTTCCTGGAAATGGCTCCGGCCTTGCGGTGCAGCTGACTGAAGCCTCAATGGCACTACAGGGCTTCAGGTGTCCTCTCATGGCACTGGCGCTCCTGGCTGCTGGCCCTGTCCCTGACAGCAGCAGGGGTGGAGGAGCCCACACCCTGGAGAATCCTGCAGTGGCTTCCAGTTGACTTCAGGGTCAGGGACAGCAGGGAGCGTCTGGGAACCAGGGCTACGTGCTGTCCCCAGCACCCCTGTTCAGATTGTCAGAGCAGGAGGGACCTGCCCCTGAGGACACCCGAAGGCCTCATCAGCTATGACCCCAAGGTACGGCCCTTTAGTCGCATGTGCCCTTGCCTGAGGGGATGCCGCTGGCCCCTAAGAGCAGAAGGAGCTTGGGGGTTCCAAGGAGGTGACACCCCTCGGGCTGTACAGATAGGCTTGCTTGGACAAGTTCCAAAGGTCATGGCAGTAAAGGACAGGGGGCTGCACAGGAGCCTCAGCGGGTAGGCTGGCAGCTGTCCCGGTGGGTGCACTGGGAGGGACGCAGCAGGGGAGAGTGGGGTCCCACGGTCAGCCCTTCGGGCTCACCACTTTCAGCCTTTGTTTTCATGCTCCTATGTCCCTGAAGGCTCGGCACCCCCTGGGAACACCACATGGTGCCCTCAGGCCCGGGGGTGGGGCGGGGACAGGGGCAGCACGGATGTTGGTCACTGTCGTCACCACCATGTCCCCCATGAGTTCGCCTGTGTCCCTGCTGAGCAGGCCATGGAGGAGACACTGGCCTCAAGGCTTGCTATGTGGGTGATGCAGACAGGGCTGTGACACTGCTGTGCCAGGGCTGTCAGCCTTGTGAAGCACAGGAGGAGGGCGGGTCAAGGCTTGAAGGTGGAGAGGCAGACGCAGGTCGCAAGGTCTTCCTTTCTAGACTGTCTGAAAATCTGTTTTGTTCCCTTCCCCTTGCACACCACCCCGATCCTGGCAGAAGCTTCTAAAAGGATCTGAGACAGCCTATACTCCCCTCTCCTCTCTCCTGCCAGGGACAGAGACAAACAAACACTGCAGGCTGCCTGTGTGCCAGGGCCGATTACGCATGCTCTGGAAGGCTGTCGGAGGGGGACAGGGGTCTGGTCCTTTATGGAGAGGCAGGGCATCTCACACTGGTTCCTTCCGAAACAGGAAAACAGAAATGTATGGAAATCCAGAGACTGGCAGCAAAGGCACAGCAGACCATGTAGGGAAGATCCGACAAGCAGCCGTACACTCACTCGCATGGAAGCTGCCCCGAAGGAAATCAGGCACGGCCACAGCAGCCTCCTGCTCTGCAGTTCGGGCTGGCCTTGAACTCACTATGGAGCCCAGGCCAGCCCTGAATCTTGGCAATCCTCCTGCCACAGGCTTTCGAGTGCAGGGATTACAGGTATACACCACCATATCCTGCTCCAATTTTATTGTTAGGAATCCATTTGCCATTGATGTGAGACCAGCACACGTCATATCCAAGGTTCAAGTGTGCAGCTGACTTCTTCAGGAGAGTAAGACCTTCCCGGGGCCCTGTGGACACAACTACCCATGGTAGGTGGAGAAACCTATCTGCTGCACCCCAGTGTATCATAATTGCTGTGTTTCACTTTATTTTTTATTTTTTGTTATCCAGCAACATTTTGGACTTGTTTTAAAGTGGGCATCTCGTTAATTACGGCGCTTAGTTCTCAGCATAATTGGTGGCCGCTGTCTCAGCCTCCTAGGGCTGCTGGGGTGGCTGATTCAGGGGGGCCTGCTGAATTTGCCTGGCGTGAACTGAAATGGAAAGTACCTTTCCTCCTTACATAATTCGAGCTCTTCTGAGGCCTCTGAGATCTGAGGCTTGTGGGTGGGGGGGTGGGAGTTGTGCGAGGTGGTTGGTACACGCAATTATCTTGGTGCGACCGAGATAGGGCTCTGCAGCCGGGCTCGGGCTGGGTGCCAGGGTGTAATCAAATAGGAAACTGGGTGCCGATGGTAATTTTTTGAAATGTGCTTTTATGACATGCTCCACAAAGATGAAAGTGGTGTTCTCTAAAACAAACAAACAGCACCGGACTAGGGCTACGGCCCTGATAGGAAATTTATTTATGTTTCACCCAAGCCGACTTGAAAGTAATTACACATGATTTGAAACTTTTAATTGTTCTTCTTGTTTTTCTCTGCAAATAAGGAAATCCTGGTTTTCTGGGGGTGGGGGAACCCTCTAGATTCTGGCTATTGGTTTCTTTTCAAGGTTCTGCCACACTAATTGCTTTTTGTTTGATTCTGTGCCCTTCTGAAATTGAAGGTTGCCTGAGGAGGGGAGAGAAGGCGCAGTGGTGGCTGTGGGTTTGGGGACCGTGGAGCCCACAGCGGTGGCCACCAGCCAGGCTCATTAGCCCACGGCTCCGCTGGGCCATCCGGGGGCCTCTCCTGGCCTCAGATCTGTGCCTGTGACTGAAGGGCTAGCGTCTCAAGGCTTTCGCTTTGCATTATTTATCATTTCTGGCTGATAACAGCACCACTCTTTTCCAGGAAGCAAGCACTGTCATTTTGGTGTTGTTTTAATGTGGTATTTGGTATTGTGTTTCACTGCTCTCCAACCGCAGATTTATAAAGTAAGAATGTATTAAAGGATATGTGTTTCACAGGAAGTGGGCATCTCACCACTTTTCAGCACTCCTACGGCTTTATGGCCTCTGCAGCATCTCGGTGATGTGACTGTGCGAACCTTCCTCTAAGCCGGGCTGCACTGTGGTGAAAGCTGCAGTGATTGGCCTGGTGTCGCCTTGGATGAAGTCAGACACAATTTCATCAGTTATGTGACCCGACAGTTTTGTAAACAGGGCTTTGAAATCATAATTTGAAGTATTAATAAAATGGATTGATAGCTTGGTGGCCTGGCAAGGCTGGCCTACGGTTAAGGGCAACCTCTCGGGATGAGAGCCCACAGGAAGTGGTGGTTAACAGGGCTGCCTGGGTCCGAACCCCAGCCCCAGTGCTGGCCAGCAAGGAAGCAGGATCAAATCCCTTCCCCAAGTTCCAGGGTCTCATGTGTCCCCTGTGGGTCACAGGTTTGCTTCCTCAGACCTCGTGTCCTGTCTGAGTAAATGTCTACTGCCATAGCTTCCTAAGGGGTGCTAGTCCTTCTTTTATTTGTCCATTATGTATGACAGTGTCCTCCTGTAGTCAAGAGTGACCGTTGGTCCTGTGGTGCCTACACAGTGACACCATGTCCTGGGGATCCAAGCTCTTGCCCTGGGGAGGCGCTGTTGTGGCCTGAAGCCATTAGCTGGCTCCTGCCTTCGCCCTACTACCTGTGGGCCAACAGGGCGCTTTCTGTCTTCCCTTAAAACTCATGCTTGGAGCGCTAGCCACCACGTCCACACGAAAGAGGGTCACAGAACTGACTCCACGGGACCGGCGCAGGGATTAAATGGGACTGCTAGCTGCTGAGTGCGGGAAATGGTTAGCAGCTACTCTGGTCGTGATCCATCATCTTCACCTTGTGCTGGCAAGGAATGCAGGAAGTGCTAATATAATCAAGCACACAGGAGTTTTTGGTGTCATGTTATGCATTACAGATATGACAAGGCAGGATTTGAGTCACTATTCTGTTCATTCAAAGCAAAACTAAATATAATCCCTTAACTCTTAAAGCCGCTTGTTCATTTTGCAAAAGGCATCTGTTGACTCATTTTATCCTTGCATGAAGCTTCAGTGTGACCTGATTTATCTGAAGTATTTGTTCACATCATTCAGATTCTCTAGATAATTGCAAGAATAAAACCGATGGCTCCACGCACCATTCCGATTGTGGGTTTAATGGGTTTACTAGTTAAGGTTATTAATAATATAAATAATGGGACATAGTATGAATAAATTGCAATAAAATTATTTCCTGTGTTCTCTCTGTTTAAGGATACGACCTAGACCAGCAGAGGTTTGGTGTGGGGGCTGTCTGGGTTGTGATCGCACTGCCCTGGTCATTGATCACACAGCTACACTCTGGAGCTTTCCTGGACCTGGAAGGAAACACAAGAACCCTCTCCTTTGACTCCAATATTTCATAGATCTAAAGAGGCCAAGTCACCTCTCTAAGCCACGGGGCTAATTACTAGTCGTGGGACCAAAACAAGCCCTCCTGCCACCGCTCTGCTGCCCAGCACAGGTTCGGGAAGTGAGAAATTTGGATTCAACCATAAGCCTGCTCTCTATGAGACTTTCAGCTGGGTTCTGGGGTTCTATGAAAATCGTATTTATCCAAAGAGCACCAGGGCAAGGTGTTCCGCCAGGCTCGCCCTACTCTGTAGGCTGTCAGGTCAGGGACCAGAACTCTGGTACCTCAGTCATCATCTGTTTTTGTTTTTGTTTTTAAGAATATGATGTGGGGTCTCTGCCACCTTCACAAGGCTGCTAAAGGGTGAGAGGGGCCAATAAAGGGGAAAAGGCTTTTGAAAAGGCCACGTGACCCTTATGAGAGCAGACCTTTGGATCACAAGTCCTGGTCACAAACCTCAGCTTAGCTGTGTGTTGTCTGGGGAACCCCGGTCAGTGCGGTCTGGACATGGGCATGGAGCTTCGCTTCTGATTAAATCCGGGATGGAAGCTGGGGCTCCACCACTCAGCAATCCCCTCGGCTCTCATTCACACGTGCGGAAGGCTTGTCATCAACTTCGCCTGTAGAATTCAAAGAAGAAAAAAAATTCACACGTTTCAAAAATCACTTCTCCATTTATTCAGCTTGTTTCCAAAACAGTGAGTTCCTCCATTTAATCCAAATTATAAATCGTACAGTCCAGACAGAGAGATGTGGTCCAAGAGCCACACAAAGGCCACCAGGAAGGCCTCGTGGCAGGTGTGCGCACACATCTGGGGAACACACTATTGCATGCAGGTGTCCCCCACACAGGGGAGCGCGACACATCAGGGCTCCTTTCCTTCAATTTCTCCCCCACTTGCAAGGAAGAAGAGGGGTTGAAAAGCCAGGCTGACACACAGTGGCACCCAAAAATTCATAAAGTCCTTCACTAGAAAGCAAACCCGCAGGGTGGGAGTGATCAAAATAAATTGTATTGTCATAAAGCAATTAAGAGAAAATTAGGCAATCATAAGGTGATAAAAGCCTATTAGTTAAAGGGCCTGAAAAACACAGCAGGTTGTAAAAAATTAAATTCTCACACACAGAAAAAATGCAAATATACGCAATTGTCTCTCCCTGGCAAACAATCAAATTACTGATTTGTGTGAAGAGTTAAAATAAAAGCCTTGAAAAACATTTAAGTGCACTTTTATTTTTCATCAGCAGATTTGAGGATTTCTGCCTTCCAAGTTCTTATCTTTCTTTCCTTCACAGTAAGCCTCACAAAAATAGTTCTGTTCTTGGAAAATAAGAAGATACACCCTTTAAAGGGAAAGCTAGCAGTGTGTGATACATCTCATGTAGATTTACACTTTTTCAATTGCTAGAGTCATTCTGGAGTTACAGAGGCTCCATGGCAGAAGAACCTGATTCTGGTCCCTCTTTGACAGACTCAGTGGGGACTCAGTCTGCATCCCAGGCTCACACCTGGGCAGTGGGTTAGGAACCAGATCTCTCCCGCACTTCCTCCTGACCCGCAGCTCTTTCCAAGCTAACACTTGGAAGATCTGTTCTGTAGCAGGCATCTGGAGACTGTTTCTGGAAAAGGCAGATACCAGATAATTTTTGGCTTGATGGATTCTAGAGTCTTCCTTGTGACTACCAAATCCTGCTGTGGTGGAGCAAAAGCAGCTGAACCAAGATGGGGTGAGGCCCAGACTGCACCACTGAGTGGGTCGTTTGTTGACATCTGGTCTATACAATTTTTGTTTTTTCAGAAATCATTGAAGAAGCCTTAAAATAAGCTAAACCAGTGTTTCCAATACCGAAAGATGCACATCATAGGAAAGCTGGACAGTCCCTTTGGACAAGTGTATTTTATTTTAGATCACTCTCAGTGAACCAAGGTACTCTTGGTAGCCAAGCAGCAGAAGCCCGCACGCTAGATGTCCATAATCTTTTCTCCCCGCTTCCTACAGTGGGTTTAGCACAGTGCTTTGTGGACCCAGGACACAGTGACCTTGCAGGTGTTGTGGGACAGCAGCCAGGGCTGGTCTCAGCTCAAGGTAGGACCTGACTTCTGCTCCGCAGCTAGATAACTGGTCATCTGAACCCTAGGGAACCTATCTTTTGGTACAGATTAGAAATGCCACATCTATCCTTCACGACACTTCCACATGCGCGTGAGTGCATTTCTAGATTTTCACTTCTGTTTCATTCATCTATCTATTCCTCCACAAACAGTTTTTCCACCAAGTTGTCTCTTTCTTACCAGGAAAAGCCCGACTCAGGCTTTCTTCTAAATCTTTTAATAAAAATTCACAACTTTCTTCATCTGTCTCGCACATTTTCACAATCACTTTTGCATTACTGATGTCTAAAATGGCAAACAGGAATACACGGGGGCCCAAGCCTCCACAAAAGACTGAACTTCAAGCAGCTTCAGGTGGCCACCTGCCCATGCTGGTCATTTCTGGATCTTCTCCAGCACGGGCAGTGACAGACTGGTGTGTACCCAAAAAGGAACGCAGAACACATGGGGTCAGCAAGAAGACAAAGCCCAGACAAGTGCACAGCGTGCCTGGGTGCAGCGTTTCAGAAGAGGTGTCAGCAGCTGTCACGGAGGAGGCCCCAGGTCGCAGGACGGGCTGGGCAGACCACACCTTCATTCCAGGTGGCGGAGCTCTGGGTCCCTGGTTAGGTGCAACAGTCCTTCCTCTGTTCCCCTCTGTGCAGAGGCGTACTTCCCACTCTGTCTCACTGGCTTCAGGTCCTGTGTCACAGCTGTTTGTTCTGCCGACCTGACGTTCCTTTACCACCTGATTTGAGACTCCTGACTTCTCTCACTTCCCTGCAGGAATGACTCCCATCCGGGCCACTCGCCCTGTGGTTTTTCATCCCTGGGAAATCTGCTCGCTGTTCTGGCCACCCCATGTTCCCCAGGAACCTCTCACACCGCATACCCTCTGTTGACCTCATAAGTCATTATTGCCCTAGTGCACACCGAGAGCTGATTTAAGTCCCTCCTGCCGTGCGTGCGCATGCCTGTGTCCCTATGTTAATGCACTCTTCATGAAGAGGAGTCCAGCACATCCCACAGAATACAATCCCTTTGCAGCTAATGCTCCCATTCATCTCTCAACACCCTGTGTCAAAGGAATGGCTGCAGATATCACCCAGGGGGCACTGTCAAAGCCATGCAGATCCAGCCATCAAGGGAGTCACTCTCCAGGCAAGTGCCGGGGATAATCAGGGAGCCTCGCCTCTTAGGTCAGGTGGATGCCAATGAGTGGGTCTGGCTGGTGGTTTTTCTATTCCAGGTGGCAACTAACACATTATAGATGTGTGTTCTCATGCACATAATGCCTACTGCACAAGCAGAAGCCCTTCTGTACAAGGCCGTGGTGAAGTGTCATAGCATGTCATAAAAGAAGGCAGCAGTGCCCGTGACCAAAATTCACACTCACACGAGGTCTCAGTCATGATCTCAGATTAACCTGGCAAACTTGTGAACAATAGCCATGTCCAGAGCCCATTTCAGACCAGGATTAAAACCAGCGTTCCTAAGAGGGGACCTAGGCCTTGCACCTATTTCTCAGGTGACCCCAGTGTGCTGCCGGGCTGTAAACCACAGCTGTGGTAGAACTTGGTGGCACCAGCTGTCTTGTTCCATATTCCAACATCACCAAGTCCCATCTCTCTCTCTCTCTCTCTCGTACGAAGGATCAAATGCACAGCTTCACATTTGCCATGCAGGCACTTATGCTGCTGAGCTGAATCTCTGGCCCCAAGTCCTGTTTCTCTTAAAGTTATGGGAAACTTCTGAAGACCGGTCTGTAATGTAGGTCAGGCAATCCAACTTAGCATTCAAAAGCGGGGTTTTTGTCCTTTCTCTGTTGCATCAATCCTCTGAACCCAGAAAGCAATGTATCAGAGAGAATTATTTATAATTTTTAAAAGGACCACATCAATGCCCAGAGCCCATGGGCTTGTCTCCACAGAGAGATAGATGGCTGAAGTATTTTTGAAAAGCCTGGTAGGAATTTCAACAGTCAGCTGAGTGTTAGGAGAATCAAAGCAAATCCACAGTGGAACAGTCCTGCTGAAACAGTATTGTATTAGCCAACCTCTCGCCATGCAAACAACAGGACTCTGTGGCTACATTAAGTCAAAAATGAAATTATTGAAGGGTGGATTGCAGCCCTAAGGTTGCATCTATAGGGCCTGGGGTGTGGGAAGTCATACTCAGAGCCACGCCCACCTCAACAGACACCACACCACCAAGTTGGCCAAATGATGCCCTTTATCCAGCTGCTTGTCTTCAAGTGCAAATCTCACCCATGCAGATAGCACAGTGTGCAAGAGGGTGCTGAATGGCCGAGATTGCTGGAGACCAGAACCTGCCTACAACACGGAGGAAGCAAGACAGGTGTCATGGGAAATTCTTAAAATGAAAGAAGGATGCTTAAACCATCTAAAGTGGTCCTGAAGGATGACAAACGCTTTCCTTGTGTTCTTTCCTTTTCCTTGCACTTAATCTCATAAAAATTCCTAGAAAAGACCTCTTGTCCCCCATCTGCATGTCTCGGGGTACTGAAGACTCAGGCACTGTCTCTCATTGTACACCAAGTGACCCCCTGGCTTTCAAGAAAGATGGGTCTCATGTAAGGTTAGCGCTTCCAGGAGGGCTTTCCTACCAGCAATAGAGTCACCTGAGTAATCTCTGGGAGTCTCCTGTAGGTTTGGATGCCGTGGAGAAGCTTTTCCCCAGTCCTCCTGTCCTTCAGCAGGTCAGCTAAGGCCAGGCGGCCTTGGGTAGTGAGAGGCGTAGGCCAGAACCTGAGTACCTGTCTGGTGACCGGCCTCACCATCCTCACCCCTCTTCACCCAGGGCAGCCTTTTGCTTTTTGAAAAGGAGCATAGATCTGAGATGCAGCCTTCAAAGACAAAGGGATTCTGTTTCAGCATTATGATTTCAATAAACCGTTGCCCACCATGAAAGGTCAACAATAAAAAACAAACATGCTACAAATCAGTTTAGATATTGTCTGGGAAGGCCAGGGAAGGACCAGCTCAGAGAACAGCACCCGTGGGTGCCTGTGTCCTCACTGCTGGCCATGCACCCTGGGCTCTGGGCACACAGCAGGGCACAGCCTTCGCCGGCTGCATTTGGTTCAGGTCGGTCCAGCTGCAGGTAGCAAAGCTGGCACAGGATGCTTACTGTGCTGTCAAGCTACACAAAGACATTAGAGACATTTTCCTTTTAAAAATAGGACTAGTTTTTAAAAGCAGTTTTAGGCTCAGAACAAGTTGAATCAAAGACACAGAGATTTTCCATGTATCCTGTATCACCGCAGGATCCGCCCCCCAGTACCAACAACCTCCCTGCCCGGGCAATGCGTGACCTCAGGATCGGGGAATCCAGGGTTCATACTTTTGTGTTGTTTCATATCTTTTTTTCTCCCCAAATCCAGAGTTTATACTAGGGTTGATTCATTTTTCCTGTCTTGTCTTTCTGCCTCCTTCCTCCCTTCCTCCACATACTAGGATTTGAACCTAGATTATCATGCTCTATACTAAGCTACGTCCCCAGCCCAGGGTTCATTCTTGGTGTTGTCGCCATAGATTGGGGAAGTGTTTATTGACGTGATCTACCATTACAGTGTCAGTAGGATATTTTCACAGCTGGAAGCATCCTCCAAGCTCTGTCTGTTGAATACTCTTTCCCAACGTGTCACCTTTTACTGTCTCTGTCATTTTGCCTTTTCTACAACATCATGTAATTGGAACCAGAACCACTTGGCCTCTTGAGAGTGGCTTCTGTCACCAGTGAGGGTTGCAGGGTTCTGCGTGGGTTTTCCTGGCCTGGCAGCTCTGCGCCTTGCAGCTCTGAGTAACGCTCTATTGTCTGATGCACTGCAGTGTCCACGCCCATTCACCTGCAGAAAAAATACATCGGTGCTCCCAGGCGTGACAATCAGGAAACAAGCTCCCTCAGACACACGCATGCTGCTTGTGTGTGGACACATTTTCAACTCTGGAGTACCAAGAAGCACGATTACTGATTACACGGAGGCATGGATGTAGTTTTGAAGAAGCAGTCAAGTGTCTTCCAAAGTGGGTGAGATGTTTTGTCACAGAGGTCGACGGTTTTAGGACGAGGGTTTCTCCTGGTCCATGTCAGCATTCAGCGCTGT